AAACGTTAACTCTGTTTTCTCCTTCACAGATGCTGCCAGACCTGCTGAGCTTTTCCAGCAACTTTGTTTTTGTTCCTGTGTACAAAAATAAACTAGATGGACCACCTATCATAAATCAAGACATCAGATTTGACATAATAGGCAGTCCAGTTATCTGTAAAGTCTTCTCACTAACACCTGGGAACTGAGAGGTTCTTGGGACATAGAGCTACAGAAAAACCAAAATACTGCAATGGTTGTATTACTAACAGTTACCGCCATGGTTTCTCCCGTTGCTTCTCTCCTCACTCTCTCAATTGGTGTGGTCCCATACAACGCTATATACAAAGTGATAACTTCAAAATAGTGCAATATTAAAACCTTCTCTTTTTAGAGATGGAGGGACAAAGCACGTTTTAATATTTTGTTTCCAAACTGTAAGTTTCAGCATGACTTGACCATTCAATTGACTGCACAGTTTAACTCCTGATCCTGAACAAATTTACCAACATAACAGTTATATACAATTCAGGAAAAGATGGGGTTGATAAGGATAAATTATTTCTACTGGTTGAAGATTCTAGAACTTAAGGGTGTGGTCTGAGAATTAGGGCCAGAACACTCTGGAGAGATATAAGTAGGTATTTCTACACACACAGACAGCATAAGTGGCAGTGGATGCTGAGTCAGTTGTTAATTTTAAATCTAAGATGGATAATACCTTTGCTTAACAAAAAGGTAAGGGAAATGGAGTTTGGACCAGCTTAGCCATGATTTCATTGACTAATGAAACAGGCTTGAGAGACTGAATAGCTTACTGTTGTTCCTGTGTTCAATGAGAGATTTGATATTTGCCTAAAAATAGTTCATTTTGTCACAACATCACTTATTCTGGTGGACAGCTTCTCTCAGAAGCAGCATTTCATTGGACATTGGTCATGGCCCCACTTAATTAGAGTCCTTCACCCAGAACATTGATGTCAGGATCACATTTGATGATTGATGTTCTCTTTTGGAGAATGACCTTCTTCTGCCCCCCCCCCGATGATTTGTGAACCAAGTTATCATTGATCCTGTTGTGGTCAGTGCCAACAAACAGTTGAGTGTCACAGTCTTTCACACTTTTTCACCTGATCTTCTCATTTCACAAACACTAGTTCCTGGCTTTTAGTTTCGTATGGGAATATCATGTCACACTTTGCATTTACTCTCAACTGAATTCTTTCATTCTCCATCAGACTCGTGAACTTGTTGATCATCGGCTCATGGTAGCTCAGGAAGATGTGCGCTCACTGGATGTGCAAATATGAGTTTGTGTTGGTTAGTTTAAAATGAGAACTGGTTCTGTAGCAGTAAAGAAGGAATTACAGCTCTTCTTGCGAAGATTTGTAGCTCCAGTTGTGGATGAGGTGGTTGGCTTGCTGTCAGAGCTGGCTTGTTTTTGTTCAAATGTTTCGTCACCACGCTAGGTAACATCATCAAACATTGGAACCCTGTTCACCAGTGATGAGCTCAGTTCACTTACACTACCATATAGGTTTCAGTTGATGACCATCAATTTAACTGGGACAACATGACCACCCTAGCTCAAGCCAACCATTGACATGCACAGGAATTCCTAGAGGCCTGGTTTTCAACCCATGATGCAATCAACAAACGTGTGAAATTCAACCCCATATACAGACCCATGCGGAACAGAACCAGAAATGACTCAACGCAACTTAACAGACTAGATCATAGCTCCAGCAGTAGGAAGTGCCTGAAATGAATCTGAAACAATAAAGAGAGAATGCTGGAAAGACTCAGCAGATCTGGCAGCATTTGTGGAGAGAGGAAGAGTTAACATTCTGAGTCCAAAGACCCCTGTTCGGAATCTGGTCAGGCTTTGGCCTGGCAGCTCTCCTTGGAGTTGACGTAATATTTGCACTGTTGGGAATGTGCTGTCAGTGATACCAGGCTGGGTAGATCTGCAGGATCAGCTCTAACCTCAGTGATCTTGAGAGGACTGTGAAAGTGTGGCAGTTTGCTGCTCGATAAAAGAGCATGGATTGCCATAGAATAATTGAACCCTTAAAGTGCAGAAAGAGGCCATTTGACCCACGTAGTCTGCACTGACGCTCCAAGGAGCATTCCACCCAGACCCAGCACCACCATTATCCTGTCCCATAACCCTGCATTTCCCATGGCTGATCTACCTGACCTGCACATCCCTAGATACTATGGGGCAATTTCTCATGGCCAATCCACGTAACCTCTGTCCTTCACCAAGGGGTCAGTTCCAGATCAGTTAATTTTTTGAGGAGGAGTTTAGTGAGGTGGCATTCGTGCACGATATCATTCTCTCAATGGCTGACTGGGGAATGATAATGCAGATGTCATTAAAGAAATCTTATAGTGCGACCTTTGTGTCTGCACTGCTTCTCTGAATCAGCATTATAACTTAATGCCACTTCTCCATGACCCTGTACATTGATTAAATAGAAGTAATCATCAAATGCCTAAATTAACTTGGTCTCCACCACACGCTCAAGCAGTGCATTCCAGACTCCAAACACTTGCCAGGAGAATGTGATTTCAGAAATCACATATACTTTTGCAAATCCTTTTAAATCTGTACCCTCTCATTCTTGATCCTTTCACAAGTGGGCACACTTTCTTTGTGTCTGCTTTGTCCAGGCCCCTCATGGTTTTGAAAATTTGCCTTCTCCTCAAAGGAATGAGCCCCAACATTTCCAATCCACTATGTGAAACCCATCTGTGTGTTTGTGTGAGCAAGAAAGATTCTGCTTGTAACGTTCTCTTGATTATCTTTCCAGTTTTGTCAGTCCATAGCCATTATATATCATTGTAGCACTTCACCTTGTTGTCTATTGATGTCAGCTTGTTTTAATGACTTTGGCACCACATGCAGGCTCTCATGACGTTTGATGGTGGTGATATAAACTGTGCTGTGTGAAAACTGATCAGCATGTCACATTCTCTAAGTATATTGTAACAGGCTGTCTTTTCTATCACATCTCTGATTGAGATTGGCATTTCAAAAGCCTCAACAATTTTCTGTGTTTTCAGTGTTGTAAGGGACTACTACAGCAGTCCATGGTAATTGGGGTAAACTCTCCCCTAGTTAGAGTCATACCTGATACAAAGGAAGATGGTTGTGGTTGTTGGTCAGTCACCTCAGCTTCAGCTGTTTCATCAACGATCTTCCCTCCACCACAAGGTCAGAAGTGGGGATGCTCATTGATGACTATGGTTCTTTCATTCTTTGATTGATGTGGCTGATGGCAAGGCCAGCATTTGTTGCTGATCCCTAATTGCCTTGAACGGATTGACTCTCTCGACCAGTTCAGAGGGCAGTTTAGATTTAACCATATTAATGTGTTTCTGGAGTCATGTGTAGGATGGCAGTTTGCTTCCCTAAAGGACATTAGTGAATTCAGTGGTATTTTACAATAATTGATGTGCAACTCAAGTAAGGGAAAGGTATGAAGAGGGCAAAGGGACTAAATTAAATGGAGTTGGAGGGAGAAATAAAGGACTCTCCCTCCAGTGCCCCCTCTGAAGGCATCAAGAGTGTTGATGGACACCGCATGCTCTCTCTCACCAATGACACTTAGACACAAACGTAGCTGGGGAAGAGGAGCAGACAGTTGGTAACTATGACCCTCTCCACTGCCTGCTGTTTGGACCTGTTTATTGCCAGCCTGGCCAGGCATCCCCAGGTTTTATTTAATTTCCACCAGCTGCCAAGGTGGAGATTCAAACTGTTGTCCCTAGAGCATTATCCTGGGGTTCTGAATTACTTACCCAGTGACAACACCACAATTTCTGTACCTTCCCCTGCTCCCTTTACGTTTACTCTCACACTGAAGCAGCGCTCAATTTTTAAGCTGCAAATAAATTTATCACATGATGCATCTCTTGAAATTCTCCCAAA